GAGTAATTTCCCATTATTATTTACTTGTACAGTATTTTTCGGCTTAGAAGACGCTGCATCGTGGAAGACGCACCCTGATTTTGGAAATGTAATTCTAGGAAAAAACTTTTTATACTTACTAACCGCAACAAGTGAAACCGTTGCTTGATATACAGCCATTTTGGCACAAGTACACACACCCCTTTGAATACCATAACTTAGAACTGCTTATCAGTCGTCATTTTTATAAATTAAAAAAAAAAAATCTGTATAAGAATTGAAAATCTTTAATACATCACCCATTTTATACACGTGGTCACCTCAGCATCTAGTGGGCTGTAGTGTTTACATTCTTTCTCTTGTTTTTGTCAGTATGACAACGACAGGAAATATTTTCCAACAGTAGAAAGTAAGCAAATGTAAACATGTATATCAACATCTAAAGATAACAAAAAATCTTTATTTAAAAACAAAAAATTAAAAGTAAAAAAGCAACTCGGTAAAAATCAATTGAATCAAAAATTTTGGTAAGCAAGAGTTAAGAAACAAACATTCCTGTGCTTTGAGACCAACAGACAACCTTTAGCAATTCCTCAATAGATGGCCCTGTCGCATCACTGCCATTAGTAAACAAACCACACAGCACCATGGGTTGTGTAGCTGCAGCCATTTATTTTTTACCTACCGAGTAAGTAAATAATAATTTTTTGCAGTATATCAACAATATTAGTTAAATCAATTGTTTTATAGTACTGTAGAGAGAATACTTGTAATTGCTAAGTACTGTAATGAGGTAACAGTCTTTGTAAGGGGCTCATTTCAGTTGACCCTAAGAAAACCTGTGCTACAACTCTTCAACTAGCATCGTGGAAGACGCATGGTAATTTTAAAGGTGTATTTTTAAATAAAAAGTGCTTCTAAGCCGAAAAATATGGTATGCGTTTTTTTTTTTTGTATATATATATATATGTATATATATGTGTGTATATATATATATATATATATATATATATATATATATATATATATATATATATATATATATATATATATATATATATATATATATATATATATATATATATATATATACCACAAGAGAAACACGAAGTTTCCTTTGTGGTTATCAACATAGCACCTACATTGATTTACTTGTATATATATATATATATATATATATATATATATATATATATATATATATATATATATATATATATATATATATATATATATATATATATATATATATATATATATATATACATATATATATGCATATATATATGCATATATATATGCATATATATATATATATATATATATATATATATATATATATATATATATATATATATATATATATATATATATATATATATATATATATATATATATATATATGGTGCCAGCTGATACAAGGAAAGAAGAAAACACGAAGTTCCCAAGCGCTTTCGTGTAATTCACATCTTCAGGGGTGAGTACAGACTAGAGAGAGAAATACAAACCAAGGTGTATATATACAGAGGTGGGTGAGACCAAGTCCACAATGGTCAGGTATTGACTGGGATAATGCCTCCTCAATATTACCATGTAATTCAATTGATAGTAGGAACATCATAGAATCTAGTCTTATTAAACATACAGAAGCATTCAACATGAATTTGAGTAACAGCATGTACAAGCTGGACAATTTTGTAATTAAGAAGATTTGTAACCAGGTGAGAAGGCAGGGTCACCTGACCATCTGACCTGACCACCAACCATTGTGTGCTATTTAAAGATTAGTAGGGTCATTACCTAATACCTGACCATTGTGGACTTGGTCTCACCCTCCTCTGTATATATACACCTTGGTTTGTATTTCTCTCTCTAGTCTGTACTCACCCCTGAAGATGTGAATTACACGAAAGCACTTGGGAACTTCGTGTAATGATTGTTTGTCAGACCAAAGCTTACAGCCCAGAATTATGTCACATGTAACAGCAAGCACACTACAGACCTCGTGGCACCACCACATCCCGGGTTGACACACCTCAGGTCGACCCTAGGGACTTGACCTCATCCGCTAATGACATTAGTTAGCCGGGTGACCTACAACCGCACCTAACCAAGACACCTGGGCAGGACGACACCTGCACACAGCCGTCCAGACCTGACACTAGGGAACCAGAATTCTCACCACCACTCGATCAGCTCTACCCGGCGTCATGACCTTAGTAATTCAAGGACCCGCTAATTAGCCAGCACTCCTGTTGACCCAACAACCCGGTCAAGACACACCCAGTTCAGTAGGAGAGGTCACCCCCCGGCTCGACCAATATATAGGGGCTGGAGCTCCTCTCACGCAGAGAGTGTCTGTAACCAGGAAGGGCCAGCTACCACGTCCCCGAGTCCCGCTCGAGAGAAGCCCGCCACTAAGTGTAACGAAGTCTCAGCCGGGTCCATCGACAGAGTGCTGTCAACTCAACGTGTAACAGTAAGTGCTGGCTGTGTAGACGGTAGAAGTGCGGTGATCCCGAACCTCCCCAACGATCTACTTAGTGAAGTGCCCATTCTAATTGTGAGGTTAGGTTATACGAGAATACCATAGTCTATCAAAAATTGTATACGAACCCCCCCATTAATCCCCCCCTATTGAACTAGTAAAATAAAGCTGTAACACGCATTGGTGTTTTATATACTACACTTGTACTGTCCCTGTGTTAATATACAGTGTTGACATCACACCCTCGAGACCCGCTACCATTTCCTCTCGCTATTATATTCTACTACTATAACCTCCTAACTTACCTCTTCATGTGAGATTTTGTCTCATGACACTAACCTCAGCGAATTTTAAGGGCATGCTGTACTGTACTGTATATTTAGGTATGATAACGTTACTACGTATCTTGTTGCTACGTTGGTTGCATCTTGCAAAAGTACTTTTTTTTTTTTTTTTTTTTTTTTTTTTTTTTTTTTTTTTTTTTTTTTTTTTTTTTTAATGGGGATTAGCCCACCCAGGCACAGGTAACTGACCCACATCAGGGCCTGGGGGGCGATAATGTAATAATAATAATAATGATAATAATATTAATGGGGATTAGCCCACCCAGGCACAGGTAACTGACCCACATCAGGGCCTGGGGGGCGATAATGTAATAATAATAATAATGATAATAATATTAATAATAATAGTACTGTACAGTAATAAAGAACCACAAAGAAATGCAAAATGAAACAAAAATCAAGAGTGAGAAACAATGTACCTGTATGTATGTTGTGTTGTCAATTGTAAGAGAAACAATTGAGACCCCGCAATTGTGTGTAAATGAGGAAGAAAGTCAGATCAGCAACCTGGGACTTGGTCACAATTTTTGGGATGACATGTTCTTTGACTTTTCCATTTTTTATTCACAGTTTCTGTGCTGGTTTATATTTATTTACTAAAGTGGTTAATGTTTTAAAGCAAATTCTATTGAAATATGAATGGCAAATGAACAAAAATGAATAGAAGGAATTATATGAGGTAGGTTAGGGAAAGGTACTTTGAAAATGTATGTTTTATTTCCGTAGACTTTATGTAATATTAACCGACCTTTTCGATTATCCGTCGGCCCTTCCCCCCCATAATTATGTGGTCGGTTAATCGAGGTTTTACTGTACCTGTATATTGTTTATCATAATAATTTTGTTTATTTCGGATGTGTGCAATTTGAAATTTGTTTGAATTAGGCTCACCTTTTCCTCACTAAATTGTTTAACTCTGAACCACATAGTTTATACAGAAGTTTGGTGTCACTAAATCAATCATTTAACTTCGAAACTGCTTACAAAAAACTCATTTATTAATTTATTATTATTAGAGAGTACAGTACTGTAATAAGTGTCTACCACCCTCTGTGCTTTGCTGTTATCCCTCATTTAACTGATAATTTCACTTAATGTTAAGTTAACCTGTGGTTAGAACTGAATCAACAGAACCCTCACACTGAAGCACCCCAAGGTCTCTGTCATCTTTATATTGATTCCTGGCCCCAGATCCCAGGCATGAATGTACTGTCTAACTTAAGTGTAACTTTATGTTAGAATATGTTTTGTAAGATCATGTTAAGTTTGGTAACATATGAGGAGATTGGGGCTAGGGACAAATACCATGATGAAGTACATACGTACAGTAATGACAGAGCTTTAAGTCCAGTGTTACAGCTCTGATGCCACAGCTGCAACCATCCAGTCTTACAGCTCTGATGCCACAGCTGCAACCACTGAGTTTTAAAGATTGTGGTGCGAATATACAGTACAATATACTGTATTAATCAAGATAGGTTTTTAACCCTTTGGCTGCGGGCGGGAGGTTACCCTAAATTGAATAAAATTGTCTGGCGGTAGCCAGAATAAAATGACAAGCGCGAGAAATGCAGTGAAAGGGTTAAAATAAACAACCATTACAAGAAGCCCAACACTCCAAACAAATAAAATTGAAAAAGAATCCATATTTTCTTCGACTAATTATTCTCTTTTCATTATAATAGTGATGTGATATTTTTTTTTAAACAGGGATTAGCCCATCTGGGCACAGTTCAGCGACTCACATCGGGGCCTGGGGGAAGGGGGCAAAAAAAATTAAATAAATAAATACATAAATAAATAAATAAATACATAAATAAATAAAAAAATAAATAAATAAATAAATAAATAAATAAATAAACAAACAAACAAACAAATACAGATATTGAAAAAATAAAATAGGTCAAAAGTGAGAAACGATATACCGTATATGTTGTGTTGTCAAAGTAAGAGAAACAATTGAGACCCTGAAATTGTGTGTAAATGGGGCAAAGTCAGTTAGATCAGCAACCTGGAACTTTCTCACAATTTTTGTGATGCCATATGGCAGCAGGGTCTACCATTAGACAACACATTATGCTTCCAATATCTTCCCAGGCAGTAGTACTTCTCTATTTGATAGCTGCATACTACATAGTATACCTACAAAATGTGTATAGATGTGAATTTAAAAAAAATATATAACATACCATACATCTTCATAGACTGTCCATCAGCACCAGACACAGCTTGATGCATGTGGTGATGAAGGAAACCGAGCCACTCATTCAGTTCTGCTTCAGACTCAGCTGCCATACACACAGGGTCATGATTGGTGTACAGAGCAATGACATGGCTGTGTTTTGGGTCCTTCTTCCGATTGATGCTAAAACACGTATTGAGTACAATAGGCCTGCAAGAAAACAATAAGGTAGTAATAAATATGTAAAAACACATTTTACATCTTGAAGAAACTTTTGAAATAGATTCATTCAAATATCCCTGATGTCTATTATTGACTTAAAAAAAATCCCAGTGACTGGACAAGTCCATGAAAATGCAAAAACAACAAGTTCATTACAGCTTTTCTTCACATATTTTATTTTATTAATCAAACCAAAATATGCAACCACTTATAATATACAGTATTGTATGGCCACAACACCACAGTATTATTGGTAATTACAATATTTCAAACATGAAGATAGTTCAATATTATTTCATATCAATGATATAAAAACTAAAGGTCATAGCCATCAGAGCTGAACAATATTACTGGAGACCTTACTACTGGAGACCTTACTACTGAGGATCTTACTACAGGAGACCTTACTACTGGGGACCTTACTACAGGAGAGCTTACTACAAGAGACCTTACTACTGGAGACCTTACTACTAGAGACCTTACTACTGGAGACCTTACTACTGGGGACCTTACTACAGGAGACCTTACTACTGGAGACCTTACTACTGAGGATCTTACTACAGGAGACCTTACTACTGAGGACCTTACTACTAGAGACCTTACTACTGGAGACCTTACTACTGGAGACCTTACTACAGGAGACCTTACTACTGGAGACCTTACTACTGGACACCTTACTACTGAGGATCGTACTACAGGAGACCTTACTACTGGGAACCTTACTACAGGAGACCTTACTACTGGAGACCTTACTACTAGAGACCTTACTACTGGAGACCTTACTACTGGAGACCTTACTACTGGAGACCTTACTACTGGAGACCTTACTACTGGAGACCTTACTACTGGTGACCTTACTACTGGAGACCTTACTACTGGAGACCTTACTACTAGAGACCTTACTACAGGAGACCTTACTACTGTGGACCTTACTACTGGGGACCTTACTACAGGAGACCTTAATACAGGAGACCTTACTACTGAGGACCTTACTACTGGAGACCTTACTACTGGAGACCTTACTACTGGGGACCTTACTACTGGAGACCTTACTACTGGAAACCTTACTACTGGAGACCTTACTACAGGAGACCTTATTACTGGAGACCTTACTACTGGAAACCTTACTACTGGAGACCTTACTACAGGAGACCTTACTACTAGAGACCTTACTACTAGAGACCTTACTACTGGAAACCTTACTACTGGAGACCTTACTACTGGAGACCTTACTACTAAAGACCTTACTACTGGAGACCTTACTACTAGAGACCTTACTACTGAGGATCTTACTACAGGAGACCTTACTACTGGAGACCTTATTACTAGAGACCTTACTACTGGAAACCTTACTACTGGAGACCTTACTACTGGAGACCTTACTACTGGAGACCTTACTACTGGAGACCTTACTACTGGAGACCTTACTACTGGAGACCTTACTACTGGAGACCTTAATACAGGAGACCTTACTGCTGTGGACCTTACTACTGGAGACCTTACTACTGGAGACCTTACTACTGGGGACCTTACTACTGGAGACCTTACTACAGGAGACCTTACTACTGGAGACCTTAATACAGGAGACCTTACTACTGGAGACCTTAATACAGGAGACCTTACTACTGGGGACCTTACTACTGGAGACCTTACTACTGGGGACCTTACTACTGGGGACCTTACTACTGGGGACCTTACTACTGGGGACCTTACTACTGGGGACCTTACTACTGTGGACCTTACGACTGTGGACCTTACTACTGGAGACCTTACTACTGGGGACCTTACTACTGGAGACCTTACTACTGGAAACCTTACTACTGGAGACCTTACTACAGGAGACCTTATTACTGGAGACCTTACTACTGGAAACCTTACTACTGGAGACCTTACTACAGGAGACCTTACTACTAGAGACCTTACTACTAGAGACCTTACTACTGGAAACCTTACTACTGGAGACCTTACTACTGGAGACCTTACTACTAAAGACCTTACTACTGGAACCCCACACAACCAACCACCACACACACCACCACACCACCACTGGGGACCTTACTCTGTGGACCTTACTGGAGACCATACTACAGGAGACCTTACTACAGGAGACCTTACTACTGGGGACCTTACTACTGGGGACCTTACTGGGGGACACTACTGGAACTGTACTACTGGAACCTTACACAAACCTTACTACAGGGCCACCACAACCACAAACCTACCATGGGACCTTACTGACTTACTAGGAGACTCACTACTGGAACCTTACTACTGGAGCCTTACTACAACATCGGGACCTACTACGAACCTACTACTGGAGACATACTGACCTTACTACAAAACCTTACTACAGGGACCTTACTACTGGGGACCTTACTGCTGGGGACCTTACTACTGGAGACCTCAGGAAACCTTACTACAGGAGACCTTACTACTGGAGACCTTACTACTGAACCTGGAGACCCCACTACTGGGCCTACTAGAGACCTACTTAGAGACCCCACGAAACCACGGACCTTACTACTGAGACCTTTGGAATTACTACTGGGGACCACTACTGGGGACCCTACTACTGGAACCTTACTACTGGAACCTTACTACTGGAACCTTACTACTAGAGACCCACTACTGAGGAATCTTCAGAGACATACTGAACCTTACTACTAGATTCTACTGAGACCTTACTACAGAGACCCACATGAGGATTCTACAGAGACTACTACAGGAGATACTACAGTAGACCTTACAAAACTATACTGAGGATCTTACCGAGCCACACTGAGACCTTCGAAACCACTATGAGACCCCTACAGGAAGACCCTACTGAGACCTACTACTAGAGACTTCTACTGGAAACCTTACTACTGGAGACCTTACTACTGGAGACCTTACTACTAGAGACCTTATACTGGAGACCTTACTACTAGAGACCTTGCATGAGGATCTTACTACAGGAGACCTTACTACTGGAAACCTTACTACTGGAGACCTTACACTGGAGACCTTACTACTGGAACCTTACTACTTGAGACCTATACTGAGGATCTTACTACAGGAGACCTCACACAGGTCCTAACAGCCTTACTACTGAGACCTTACTACTGAGCCTTCTAGAGACCTTACGGAGACTAACCAGAACTTACTACTGTGGACCTTACTACTGGAGACCTTACTACTGGAGACCCCTACCAATACTCAGACCTTACTACAGGGTATTTTACTACTGGAGACCAAATACAGACACTACGAGACCTTAATACAGAGACCTACATTGTGGACCTTACTAATGGGGACCTTACTACTGGAGACCTTACTACTGGAGACCTTACTACTGGAGACCTTACTACTGGGGACCTTACTACTGGAGACCTTACTACAGGAACCTTACCGGGGACCTTACTACTGGAGACCTTAACAGAGACCTACTGGAGACCTTAATACAGGGAGACCTTACACAGGAGACCTTACTACTGTGGACCTTACTACTGGGGACCTTACAGGAGACCTTACTACGGAGACCTTACTACTGGAGACACTTACTACTGAGACCTTACTACGGAGACCTTACTACTGGAGACCTTACTACTGGGGACACTTACTACTGGAGACCTTACTACTGAAACCTTACTACTGGAGCCTTACTGGAGACCTTATTACTGGAGACCTTACTACGAAACCTTACTACTGGAACCTTACTACAGGAACCTTAATCAGACCTTCTACTAGAGACCTTACTACTGGAAACCTTACTACTGGAACCTACTACTGAGACCTTACTGCAAGACCTTACTACTGTAATACTGACCTTACTACTGAGGATCTTACTGAGGAGACCTTACTACTGGAGACCTTCTAGAGACCTTACATGAAACCTTACTGGAACCTTGCTTACTACTGGAGACCTTACTACTGGAGACTTACTACTGGAGACCTATACAGTGGAGACCTTACTACTGAGGACCTTACTACGGAGACCTACTACTGGAGACCTTACTACTGGAGACCTTACTACTGAACCTTATCGAACCTTACTACGAGACCTTATACGGAGACCCAAGGAGACTACTACTGGGGACCATTACTGGAGACCTTACTACTGGAGACTCCTTATTGGGGACTCATTACGGAGACCTTACTACTGGGGACCTTACTACTGGAGACCTTACTACTGTGGACCTACTACTGTGGACCTTACTACTGGGGACCCACATTGACTTACTACTGAGACCATACAGAGACCCATACAGGAGACCTAATACAGGAGACTCACTACTACTACTGGGGACCTTACTACTGGAGACCCTTTACTAGGACCACTACTGTACCTTACTGGGGACCTTACTACTGGGGACCTTACTACTGGAGACCTTAATACAGAGACCTTACTACATGTGGACCTTACTACTGGAGACCATTACTGGGGACCTTACTACTGGGGGACCTTACTACTGGAGACCTTACTACTGGGACCACTACTGAGACCTTACTACAGGAGACCATACTACTGAGACCTTAATACAGGAGACCTTAGACCTTACTACTGGGGACCTTACTGGAGACCATAGGACCTACATGTGGACCTTACTACTGGGACCTTACTACTGGACACAGGACCTACACCACCCGACCTACTACTGGGACCTTACTACTGGGACAGAATTACAGGAGACCCATTACTGGACACCTACTGGGGATCTTACTACTGGGACCTTACATGGAGACCTTACTACCGGGACCTACTACTGGAGACCTTACTACTGGGGACCTTACTACTGGAGACCTTACTACTGGAGACCCATTACTGGAGACCTTACTACTGAGACCTTACTACTAGAGACCCATTACTGAGACCTTACTACTGGAGATCTCATTACTGGAGACCCATTACTGGGGACCTTACTACTGGAGACCTTACTACTGGAGACTCTACACTGAAACCTTACTACTGGAGACCTTACTACTGGAAACCTACTATGAGACCTTACTAC